GTTAATGCCCTGGGAAAGCAATGGAGGATGGACCACGTGCTTGGTCCCCTGCACCCACCTGGGAGACGAGGAAGAAGCTCCCGGCTCCTGGCTTTGGACTGGCCCAGCTCCAACCACTGTGGCCATTTGGGGAATGAACCAGTGAATGGAAAATCTCTTTCCAAACTAAACTCAGAAGCTCCATGCCCTTGCCCACAGGCTGCCTCGAGGGCGCACTTCAGCTGCTGACATTCACACTTATGTCTGAGCAGCCACATGAGAACTCTCCTGGGAATTAATAGCAAAAGCCCAAAGAACATTGGTTTAGGGCTCTAACTCCTCCTTCCACCTTGCTGCGTACATGGGTGAGGTCAAGGTCAATGGCCTGCCAGGGTTGAACAGCTGCCCATCTTCTCTTGGGACTGGTACAGAGGAGCCTCCCTGCCTTGGCTGGCTACTGTGGAACCAGGAACAACCCTGGACCGGGTAGCCTGGGGCACCCACTGCTTCCTGATTGGGTTCTGATGCCACATTGCCTGGTCACTGGAGGAGAAAGAATGCAGGCCTTGCCCAGCCCAGGGCAGAGCTCTGTGACTGCAAGTGGCTGGCACCAGTGCAGCAGGGCAGCTGGCAGAGGAGGCAGAGCACTTCCTGAGGGACCACAGCCAACTTATGCTCTGACCGTTGTCATGCAAGAGAGCAAATCGCTGCCCACACAGCTCTGCACCCCTTGAGTGGGAGGGGAAGGCTGGTGGGGCTGGGGGCGAGGGGCTGGATGTCGCTGTGTTTCACCCACATCTACACACTGGATATGTTGCATACCTAATGATACTGCCATCAGAACAAAGAGCACTTAAAAACCCACGCCCCTACCTCTGTGCTACACACTTGGCTCGAGGTCCCCGGAGGACACCCAGTTCTGAGGGTGTTCAAGTCCCTTATATAAAACACCATATGAAGGCAGGTGATGGACACAGCGGCCAGCAAGCCCTTTGCGACATCTCCTATCAGAGGGCCCTGGCTCTGCTTCTGATTTCTGCCTCCTGCCGATGCGCACCCTGGAGGGCAAACAGGGGACAGCTCAAGGACATGAGATCCGCACTGAGTTCCAGGCTTCTGGCTGAGGACTGGCCCATCCCAACTGCTGTGAGCATTTGAGAACCTCTGGTTGGAAGATCCGTGTGTGTGTGTGTGTGTGTCTATACACATGTGGTTTCCACCTTTCAAATGAACAAAAACAAATAAACAAAAACTAAAGTAGATGGGGCCCGGTGGCATAGCGGCTAAAGCCCTCGCCTTGAACGCCCCGGGATCCCATATGGGCGCCGGTTCTAATACCGGCAGCTCCGCTTCCCATCCAGCTCCCTGCTTGTGGCCTGGCAAAGTAGTGGAGGATGGCCCAAAGCTTTGGGACCATGCACCCGTGTGGGATACCCAGAAGAAGTTACTGTTTCCTGGCTTCGGATCGGTGTAGCACCGGCCATTGTGCTCACTTGGGGAGTAAATCATCGGACGGAAGATCTTCCTCTCTGTCTCTCCTCTCTGTATATCTGATGTTGTAATAAGAATAAATAAATCTAAAAACAAACAAACAAACAAACAAAAAACTAAAGTAGAAGGGCAGGACTGATGGCTCAATTGGCTGATCCTCCAAGCACCGGAATCCCATACGGGCACTGGTTCATATCCCAACTGCTCCACTTATTGCCTGGGAAAGCCGTGGAGGACGGTCCAAAGCCTTGGGACCCTCTCCTGCATGCGAGACTCGGAAGAAACTCCTGGCTCCTGGCTTCAGATAGGCTGAGCTCCGGCCATTGTGGCCATTTGGAAAGTGAATCAGTGGATGGAAAATCTCTGTGAAATCTGCCTTTCCAATAAAAATAAACAAATCTTAAGAAAAAAAAAGTGAGATGGGATATATGCATACAATACACACATATCCTCCCATAGACTTTAAATCTCTAGGTGGCCATGATACGCAATACAAAGAAAATGCTCTAGGTCCCGCGCGGTGGATTGGCTCAGCTCTGGCCTTTACAGCCACCTGGGGAGCGAATCAGTGGATGAAAGATCTTCCTCTCTCTCTTCGTCTGTGTATATCTGACTTTCCGATAAAAACAAATCAATCTTTTTAAAAAATGCTCCATAAGCCTACATGGTCAGTACAGACATAATTTTTTCCCAAACACTTTCAAAATGGAGTTGGTTGAATCCATGGATATTAAATCATTGGATACTCAGGATCCACCTACACACACAGGCTATCTTTATCGCTCAGTTTCCATATTTGCACATTCACCTACTCCTCCCATTTGCAACCCCTAAACCCACACCCACGGCCCTTTCCCAGCCACTCCCATGCATGTGCATGGGAAGAAACACTCGCATGGCCCACTGCTCTCCAGTGCCACGCCAGTGGGGCAAGCCAGCCTGCTCAATCCATGCTGCCCTCCCACTCCAGGCCAGAGTCCCCAAGGAGCCACTGAGAGGCACATTTTCTGCATGGCTGTGCTATTTTCAGCAATACTGCTGTTTTAAATAGCTCCCATGTGCAGTGCTGCAACGTGGGGTCCCCCCCACACACACAAGGTGGCTGGGGAGTGCCTCAGAGGGGGCACACACATGCTGAGCTGGTCCAGGCATCGGATCCTGTGCTGCTGGCTGGAGGTCCCATGTCAGAGAACCCATGTTTAACACTAAATGCAGTGTCGGACCTGTTCAAACACGTTCTGTCCGGTTCGGTTGACAAAAATGTTGTGACCCCAGGCTTGCAGCAACCTACTGCCCTACTTCCTCCATGAGCACGGGGTCAGGATTTGCTAACTCGGTGTTGGCAGAGGCATCACTGCACAGGACTCCTGGTAATGAGGAGGAACGGACCCAGTGCCACCTCTGCCACACTGAAAGCAATGAATATGTCAACACCACAACCAGAAATGACAGTGGTCCCTGGTCCTGGCTGGTCTGCCTCAGTAACTTGAGGAACATTTCTACAGAGGATAAGTTCACTGCCAGTGCAGTGGGCTCTTCTGCAGCCTGTATGTGGTGTATCTGGTCTGAAGGCTTGCTCAACCAGATCCCATTCAAAATGTTCTAGGAAGAGGAGGAGGTGGGGTGGGCCTCGCCTATGGCAGTTGGGACAACGCTGAGGGCGCCTGCACCCATAGCTGAGTTGGGACAATGCTGAGGGGTCTGGGTCCCAGCTCTGCCTCTGACTCCAGCTTCCTGCGGGTGCACACCCCAGGAGGCAGCAGGAGATGGCTCGGGTGCAGGCCAAGTTGGAGCTCCAGACGCCCAACCTCAGCCCGGCTCAGCCCTGGCTGTTGCAGGCATCTGGAGAGGGAGCTAGCAGATGGAAGCTGTCTCTTCGTCTTTCAAAGAAATTCATTACAAACCGTTTCGATGACAGAGTGAATGTCACCCAGGACGAAACCTGCACGAGGTTTCACCTGATGCTCTCTGACGTATAAGGCCTAGCAGTGCAGGCATTGTCCCTTAGTCCTATTTTACAGGACCATCCACCGCAACACTGGCACAGCAGCCTCGGCCTCCGTCACCCGAGTCCACGCCCTCCAGCATGGGCCTGCTCTGGGGACTTGAAATCATACTTGACAGGGGTCAGTGTTGTGGTGCAGTAGGCAAAACCACTGCCTCCAGCACCAGCATCTCATATGGGTGCCCGTAGGAGTCCCAGCTGCTCCACCTCTCATCCAGCTCCTTGCAGAAGACGGACAAAGTCTTTGGGCCCCTGCACCCACATGGGAGACCCAGAACAAGCTCCTGGCTTGTCCCTGCACGCATCTTCCCATCGCTCAAGGCACGACTAGGGAACCACAAGATTCCAAACCAAAATACAGGGGCTGAGCAGGGACATTCGAGGAAGCCGGGGGACAAAAACCCCACAACATGGTAACCGGCACCATCTTGTGTTTGCAGTCCTCGCACACCTGTGGAAGCCGCCCCCGCAGTCCACCACCACGGCCCGAGCCACTGACGCGGCAGTAAGCGGGCGCCGCCCGGCCGAGCGCAGGCGGGGGAGGGCCACCGTGGCCGCAGGCTCCGCCCAGCCGCGGGCACAGCGCCGCTGGAGCCCGCCTCACCTGAACCTTCGGAGAAAGCGCGCAGCTCCGGGTCCCACCCCCGGGAACTCTGATTGGCGGGGCCAGGGAATCTGAGTTTGCATCACCCTCTCCCCCGCCCCCAGGTAAGACAATCGCAGGCGAGGCCACTGCCCTGGAAAACCTCTCAACAGGAAGGCGGCAGGGCGCAAATGGCCCATCCAGCGGAAGGGAAGCCCCCACCACTGCCGCTGCCCTCCGCGGCAAGGGCACAGCAGGTGGCAGCTCCCACCCCGGCTAGGGGGGCTCCTGATTGCACCCCCACATCCCAGCTACGGGAGGAGGGCGGGGGCAGCGTCACCAACCGGCCAACAGGAGCCCCCTCCCACCCTCTGGGCTTGCGGTTTGCCTCTGCACCCCCCAGGGCAGGGAGGGGCCAGTGGTGATCCGGACAGCAGGTGGTCTCAGCACATCCAGGTTTGGGGGTAGGCCTAGAGACCCGAGGTGCAGCCCCACGGCGGAGGCCGAGACCTCCCAAGCAGGACCCATCTGGGCGACCGAGGGACGCTCCACGCGCGGGACATGGCTCCACACTGCCTAAATCGTGCTTCCAGGGACAACCAGCCGTTCCGAAACAATAAATCGGCTCTAAGACACAGCTGATCCTAATTCGGCGCGCCTGTAAACGGCGCCGGGGCGAGCCCGGCTTCTTCGGGTTTCCAAAGTCGCCAGGCAGTCGGGCCCCTGGGCCCAGCAAGGATGGAGCCGGGCGGGGGACCTGGCGCGTGGCTGGACCTGAGGACGCCCCCGCCCCAACACGCACACACAGCCGCCGCCGCGCCGGCCCGGCCGCGCTCATGGCGCCGGGAGTCGCCAACCTGTCAGGCCCGGCCGGGCCGAGCGCGGAGCCCCGGGGCGCGCGGACAAAGGAGAGGCAGCCGAGCCGGAGCCGGGCCCACTCACCCGGAGCGGGGCCTGCTGTCCATCCGCTTCTTCTGGCGCACCGGCTGCAATGGGATGTTGTCCGTCATGTCGGCGGCGCCGCCCGCCTTGGCCGCCGCGCCCCCAGCGCCGCCTGGGCCGCCGCCCGGTCCGGCCTCCGCGCCTCCGCCCGCCGGCGCCGCGCCGCCCCGGGGGAGGAGGCGGCGGCAGCGGGCGGGCCGAGCCCGCAGCGAAGGGGCGAGGTCGCGAGCGCCGGGCCACGCGCGGAGCCGCCCGCGCGGCCCGACCGACGGACACGGGCGCACCATGGACCCGAGCTCCGCGCTGCGCCCGCTCCCTCCGCGCCGCGCCTGCCACGGGGGGCGGCCGGGCCGTGTCCGCGCCGCCGCCGCCGCAGCTGCTGCTGCTACTGCTGCTGCTGCTACCGCTGCTGTTGCTGCCGCCGCCGCAGTGTCCCCGCCCCCGGCCCGCGCCGCGCGCCCCCCACGCGCGCCCACCCGGCCACGCGCCCCCCGCCCACGCCCTGCAGTACGCGCGCGCGCCCGGCCGCCGCAACCCCCAAACCCCATCTTCCTCGTTGGCTGGTGCTGTCTCCAAGGTTCACGTTCGCCGGGACCTTGAACGCGCACCTTGCCACAGCCACGGCCGAGTGCGCCCCCCACCCTCATCCACACACACACACGCCCTGGGTTTCGGGGCGCACATTCACAGGTGCCCCAAGAAATCACACACTTCGGCTCAGGTTTTCCCCCCTCACGCTTTCCTGGGATGCCTGAACTCACAATCACACCCACTGAACCACACAGCCTCTCACACTCATCAGACCCCTTTCTGAGACTTGACCAAGCGTCCCAGGCTCAGGGCGCCGACTCACTCTGCAGAGTCTTGCACACACACCTGACTCGTTCACCTGAACCCCAGCACATATTCATTCATTCACACTCTCACAGTGTCCGGGACACACCAACTTCCCAAGAGCCTGACAAAGCTTTGAGGACAGGAAAAACAACGGGACGAAGAAGGGAGGGGGCTGGGGCAGCACGTTCGGTTGCCACCTGCGAGGTCAGAGTCCCAGGAGCCCTAGGCTTGAGCCTCAGCCGCCGCTAGACTTCCAGCCTGGGAGAGCAGTGGAGGATGTCCCAGTCCTTGGGCCCCTGCAGCCATGTGGGACACCGGAAGAAGCTCCTGGTTCCTGGCTTCAGGCCATCTGAGGAGTAAACCACAGATAGGTGGAAAAATCTCTCCAATTCTGCCTTTTAAATAAAAAAAAAGTTTAAAAAGGAGGGAAGTTTAAAACATCAGTATGTAATTAACAAGCTTCAAACAGTAAACAATAATTCCAACTAATAAGCTGCAACTACAACACATTTTTTAAAGATTTTTTTTTTTATTGCAAAGTCAGATATACAGGAAGGAGGAAAGAGAGGAAAAAATTCTGTCCGATGATACACTCCCCAAATGGCTGCAACAGCCGGATCTGAGCTGATCCAAAGCCAGGAGCCTCTTCCAGATCTCCCATGCGAGTGCAGGGTCCCAAGGCTTTGGGCTGTCCTCTACTGCTTTCCCAGGCCACAGGCAGGGAGCTGGATGGGAAGCTGGTACGGTGGGATTAGAACTGGCACCTATATGGGATCCCGGCACGTGCAAGGCAAGGATGTTACCTGCTAGGCTAGTATACTGGACCCCAAATCGTTTCATTTTTAAAGGTTTATTTTTATCTACTTAAAAAGCAGAGGAAACAGTGTATCTTCCCCTGCTGGTTCACTCTCCAAATGCTGGGAAACCAAGACCACATGTGGACCAGGTTTACCCCAGCACCTCCTCTCACCGGCTGCCTCGAATCAGAAAGTGGAGGACCCAGGACTTGAACTCTTAGGGAGCAGCTGTCCCAAGCCACCATTAACTGACAGTATGTAGCACTTGCCTCTAAAGCAAACCTGTAAGTAGTCAGATCTGATGTTACTTCTTGTTGGGTCAGTGGATACATTCACTATGATATGGGGGAGCCACGAAATAGTCTCATGTCTGGGCTCTGGCGAAGAGAGGAAGAGGATCCCAGCGTGTGGCCGGTCTTTAATCCCAGAGAAGTCCAAGGGCTTAGAGAAGTAGCCGCACTGCACGGGGGAGAGAAAACACGCAGCATTCCTTGACCCACACACCTGGTCTGCCAGGCTTCTTGCCCTGTGTCTAAAACAATGCCCCACAGGGAGCGAGGCAACAGCTCCTGGAGCGGAGGAAGTGAAAACAGCTGGGCCTGTCAATCACAGCATCAATGTAGGCCCCACCTGCTCCTGCCTACTCCCTTGAATCACTCTTCAAATCCCGACCACAGGCTTTTCCTCCAGTGGTACACAGGGCACCCGAGACAGGGAGATGGTGAGCTCTTCGGTCAAGCCTTAAACCCGAATGGAGCCCCACAGCTAGTCCTCCCAGCAGCCTTCCAGCTAAGTCTAAATGATAACAAATATTGCATTAAGTGGAAGCCCAGGGCAGCCTGCAGTCACTGGACTAGCAAGGAACCAGGCTGGCCTCCAGTCCCAGCCTTCCTGCTGCAGATAGCAGGAAGTGGCTTCCTGTGACCCGCTGAAGCCGGGCTATTATGACACTTCTGGGTCTCTGATGTTTCTGATTCCAAATGTCTCACACCACCCCATCAGAAGGTACCCACATTTCTAAAACCTGGAGTTAAAATAAGGGTTCCTGAAGCTGGGATGGTCACATAGCAGGCTAATCCTTCATCTGTGTAATCAGCTGTATTGTGTCCTAGCTGCTCTACTTCCACTCCAGCTCCCTGGTAATGTGCCTGGGAAGCCAGCAGAGGATGGCCCAAGTCCTTGGAACCCTGCCCCCACAGGGGTGACCTGGAGGAGGCTTCCATCTCCAAGCTTCAAGCCAGCCTAGCTCTGGCCATTGTGGCCATTTGGGAAGCACAGCAGAAGACGGAAGCTCTCTCTGTAACTGATATTCAAGTAAAACAAAAAATCTTTTTTTCAAGAAAAGGGAGTTTCCCCTGCAGTCACACCATGAGGCCCCAAGCACACTACGCGCTGATCTGTCTCCTCCTCCAAGAAGAGGGTGATAGCACTGTGCCCCTCAGGCTCAATGGTTAGAGTAAGTTGATGGATTTCCACTGTGCAAACTCCATCTCCAGGCATTACCCAGAGCAGCAGAGCAGGGCTGACCGGGCTCCATCTTACCAAGATTAATCATCTACCTTTAATTTTCTTATTCTAGGTTTATATCTGATAACACCTGTGAAATCTCTCTGGGCGCAGCAATCTGCTGAGTTGTAAACACCAGGTTATGCCACTTCCGGTAAATGTGCAAACGCATCAACACCTTCTGTGACACTGTGGTTTCACTGCCACCCGATTCAACCTGGCATGGATGAGACACAAAACCCCCCTCTTCCCAACCCCCAGCCCTATCCTCACCCCAAGAACAACAGGCTCTGAGGACAGGTGGTCAAGTGCACCCTTGAAAAGTTCGTGTGTGAGGCAGGTGTTGTGCCACAGTGGGTTAAGCCACCACTTGGGACCCACACACTTCTGAGTCAGATGTGATCCACTTCCTACCAATGCAGCAGGTGAGGGCTCAAGTGTGTGGGCCCGTCTCCAATGTGGGATCCACATGGAGTTCCACGTCAGGCTTCAGGCTGGCACAGGCCTGGCTGTCTGCAACATGTGGAAGTGAACCAGCAACCGAAGATCCGTTTCTCTGTCACTCCTCCTCTAAAGGAGATGAAAACAAAAACTTAGCAAAAAGAAAAGCTGTGTGACCAGCAGCACCTAATCACCCGTCGAGCAGTAAAGCTCAGCCTTGAGTGGAGCCAAGGAGACAGCAGGAGGGGACAAACAGGCCTCTAACACGGCGCTTGCTCCACTTCCCACACCCCACAAACTTAGCAAGTCACCGTGCTGCCCTTCAAGGAGACTGAGGCTGGCTTTACACACACACGCATGCACACATACACACAATATAAACACACTAACAATCTTTGTCCTAGCCACTTTGCAAGTAGTTTACACCGGATAATTCAAGTTATTCCATGATGAAGTCATTTCACCTTGCAGTTAAGAAGCCCACGTCCCCCTAATCAGACTACCCGCACCCAGTCCCACTCACTGGTTTCGAGCTCCATTTTCCCAGAAACGCAGGCCTTCAGGGGGCAGGGGATGTTCTCAGGCGCCTGGGTCCTGGCTGGGGCTCTGGGCTCCTGGGCTCCAGCTGCCTAGCCCAGCCCTAGCTGTTACTAGGAACTGAGTGAACCAGCAGACAGGACATCTGAACTGAAAACTAAGAAAAAAGAAAACTATGTCACAAAGATAAGAAGAACTACCTCCGTGTATTGGCTTTGGCAGCAGACATGCCAACACTGAGACAGTAGGAATTAACACAGCTCTTGCACAAGCACAACAGGCAAAACCTCAAGTGTTCCGCGTTTCTTAGAAAAAGTTGCTTAACAAAAAGCATCAGGGACAACACGCCGTCTAGCACCTGCTAGTTGGGCATTGTTCTGGCTCTGTTTTGGTGTACAGTGTCTGAAGGCCTTAATCAGTCTTGCCCAAGGTGGCTGCTTCACCCTGCATGGAATTAAAGCCAAACTATTGGCGATCTTTCCGGACAGGGCGTCCATCTGCTCTGGAGCTCAAGATTTCACACCCAGGGACCTGGCGTGGTAGCCTAGTGGTTAAAGTCCTGGCCTTGCACATGCACCAGATCCCATATGGGCATCAGTTCTAATCCCGCAGCCCCACTTCCCATCCAGCTCCTTGTTTGTGGCCTGGGAAAGCAGCTGAGTAGGGCCGAAAGCCTTGGGACCCTGCACCTGCATGGGAGACCTAGAAGAGGCTCCAGCTGTTGCAGCCACCTGTGGAATGAATCAACAGACGGAAGATCTTGCCGTTTGTCCTCTGTATATGTGACTTTCCAATAAAAATAAATCTTTTAAAAAAAGAATTCATACCCAGCCTTTCTCCCACTGTCAGGTCAGTCCAGTGGCCCTCACCCATCAGGGGCTCCCTCAGGCGGCCTGTGAAGGCAGGTTGAGACTCTGCCCACTGGGGGGTGGGTGCCAGGGACATAACTGCTACCTGCTGCCTCCCACGGTGTACATCAAGCAGGAAGCTGAACTGCCAGGAGTGAGAACTCCAGTTCAAGCACCCTGATATGGGAATATGGAATGCACCTTAACTGCTTGGCCAAGTACCCGCCCACGCCTTTAACAAGCTTTGCACAGTCCATACAGCATCTGGAACAACCATCTTGTAATTACCTAGAACCCTGCCCTTCTGAGCAGCCCGGGATGGAAGAACATGAATGTCAATCCAGGGTGTTCACGCAACAAACAGACCTCTATGGTCACAGGCCAAGCATTCAGAGAGCATGCTAACAAAATGTCGAACCTTTTAAAAGCAGAGAAACCCAACAGCAGGTAGAGTTCTGTGTGTGCCTGACAAAGGGGGCAATCTGAAACCAACCAGGTTTGTCTTCTTGTTTCTAGGGACCAGAACTGGAAATGGTCTAGGTTTAGTGCAAGAAAAACACACACCAAATGGGAAGAAAAACATTCAATTTTTATTTTCCAACAGACAAGCATCAGCAGGTACAACTACAGGGGCATCTCTGTAGATCTTACATTCACAAAGCATCATTAGCTCAACAGGTCCACTGGTGCATTCTCTGTAACAATATCCACTTCACAGTGTAAACAGCTATCATTGTGTTCGTTTACAATTCCAGAAGGAAAGGCACAACTTGGCAAAAAACTTTTTGGATCCTAAAACAGGTGCAATAACTAAGACATATGCTGGGTAACAGTCCTTGGCCCACATCTCAAAGAAGACCAGGAGAGGGTCTTCCTCTTTGTAGATCAGAGCATTGCTTCATCGCCTGCTGCAGGCCATCACGTGGACAAGAGGGGGTTTCAGGAAGGAATCACGAAAGATCCTGAATGGCCCACTGCTCTCACCAACACCTGGGCTTCAAGACACGACCTGGGAATACTTCAGTGGTCATAAAATAGGAAAATAGAATCTATGGCTACAAAAATAAAAAATAAATGAGGTAGATAAATTAAAGCTTTTACACCCAGGACTTGCCTGTTCTATCTTCCATAGCCTTCATGCAATACTGAGGAGAAGAGGGGGGAAAAAAATCTTCACAACTTGGCATGTCACATCAAGGGGAAAAAAAAAAAATCAGAATGTGAACCTGGAGTTAGGAAACACATCCTTCCCAGATCCCTAAGCATGAGGTTAGTTTAACAGACCAGGGCTAGTGGACTCCATCACCTCAGCTGGGATTTCCCACTCAGGAGCCCACTCCTTCTGGGGTCTGGGACACAGGGGCACTTGTGGGGCTCCATGGGAACTGTACTTAAATAAGCAGCAACATACACACATGGACTCCCTAGGGCCTAGCACCTGTCCAGTAAAGGACTTCTGGTTCTAAGGTTGCAAGGATTTTGGAATTCTACAACCTTAGGTTCTTCCTTTTTTGTTTAATGTACATTCAAAAAGCAAACCAAAAGATAGAGGTACGCAGTTGGAGGGCACCCAAACAGGTCCCTAACACACGACGGGCCTCATCCAATTACCTACACATAGTTAGCACGGAGGCATCCAGCACTGCTCCCCCCACCGGCTATGCCCTCTTCCCTGTGACTGGGTCCGCTCCACCCTGAGACAGGTGCATCTTTGGAAACAGGCTAGGCTGTAGACAAAGCTTCTGCATCCGGCGCAAGTAACAAAGCTACTTTGCAAGACCCGCTTTTTTCCAAAAATTCAACGTTTCTAGTCTGTATTTGTTTTTGGTATGAATTTTTTCTTTACTTTTCATTTTTTTGCAAAGCAGCTTGGAATCACTCTGATTGTAAGACTGCCTGAGGTTGTGGTTACAACCGTAAACATCATTTGCATATCAGTAAGAAAAAAAAAAAGATAAAGAAAAAAGGAGGACTCGGCTGGTCACCTCTGGGGACACAGATTTCCTTCTCTGCACTTGTCCCTCCACCGTGGTCGCTCGGGTTTAGCTGACTGCAATCTTGTTTTCCTCCAGGAAGTGAGGGAACTGGTGTTTGGCCACAGCGTCGGTAGCACCAGGCTTTTCCACATCAGCACTGGTGCCCGACTGGGAGCCATCAATCTTGGAGACGGCGGCGTTATTCACCACAGAGCTGGCCCCCAGGGAGACGGGCAGTGGGGGGATGCCCCCGCTCTGGATCACCGAGATCTCGTTGGTCTTCATGGCCACGCCGCCGTTGAGCATGCTGGCGTACTGGGTCCACAGGACGGAGTCCATATTCACTGCCGGGGCCAGGATCTCCTTGGGAAACATCTCGGAGACTCTCTTCCCGTCGTTTCCTAACAGTGCCATGGTGTTCTCGATGGCCAGCTTCCTTCCACGGCGGGCCGAGTTGTTGGCCCCGTGTGTCATGTAGTGCACCTGCAGGAACAGGACACGGGCGCTAAGACAGGTGGCAACTCTTCGCTGACTTGGTTTTCTCCAAACCTGGCTGCTGTCCCTAACCATCTCCCTGCCGGCCTTTCTGGCATTGTAATACAGCGAGTCCAGCCACCTCCTATGGCACCACCATCCCATAAGTGAATAATATGGCCCCTGCCCAAGTCACAGCTACCCCACTTCCAATACAGCTTCCTGCCAATACACCTGGGAAAATGGCCAAAGATGGTCCAAATGCTTGGGCTGCTGCACCCACGTGGGAGGGAGGTTCCAGGTTCCTGGCTTCTAACCTAGCCCTGCCACTGCAGCCGTTCAGGGAGTGCATCAGTGGATGGAGTCGCTTGCTGTTGCTCCCCATCGACGCTTTCAAACAAGAACTAAATCTTATTATTAGTTTTAAAAACTCAAATGCTAGACACCTGGTTTGCTGGGAACTTTCTTATCTTTATTGGCTATAAGTTAACAGCTGCCCTCGCTCGCTGTCTGTCCCTGAAAGAAGCTAGGAGAACTATAGTTAAGGATGCTTGCAGTAAGTACTCTTGTCACATTCCAGACATGCTCTGCAACACTTCCCTGCAACAGCTCCTTACCTTGCAGTCATCTGAGTCACCACTGCCAGTAACGTGTGCCTGAGAAAGCAAGGGCTGGCCCCCACACCACCTGCCTGAGTTCTCCCGTAGCTGCTTTCAATCGTGGGGGAGGGGGGCGGGGGATAAGAGGATGAACTCAACATATCCTAACAGCAGCAATACTACAAAGACCACCAGCTGTATTAAGCACAGGTTACCTTTTTAACCTAGAATCTTCAACTCCAGGTTATTATTTTTTCACAGGTTTATTTCAGTTTAGCAGGATAGGCAAACAAAAAGAGTGGTCCTCAATTCCAAAACGAAACCAATCCACGGAAGATTAAGAGCACAACAAGTCTCACGCCGTCTACTTCCCACACCGGAGGGAGATCTGCCCATACAGAACTGGCAGGAGACAGGGGCATAAGCAGACCGCACCGCTGCTAGACAGTGCCGCTCGCTAAAAGCAGTTACTCTTTTGCCCTCTTATTTATATATACTTATTTCAAAGCCAGAGTTGGCCAATCTCATCTGGCTTGGCCTAGGCGGGGCACCAAGCCAAGAATGCCATCCAGTTCTCCCCTGTGAGTGCCAGGGACCCAATCATCAGACCTGCTGGAACCGGGAATAGAAAAACGAACTCCAGGCACTCAGAAGCCAGGTGCAGGTCTCCCAACCTTGATGCTTGGCACGGCTCTCAGAAACGCACTGGCTGACGGGTAAACAAGTGCTTGGAGCACAGGTTCAACAGTTCTTACTGGTCTGCCCCCGAGTACAGAAAAACCACCGATCACAGACACGATGCTTTTTTCTCCCACACACTGTCTCTGTGCAGCACATGAGATGTCAGAATGTGACAAAGCATCCGGGTTTCCAAAGCCAGATAGCTACAAGGTCGACCAGACAGCCCACTCCATCTCCAAGAAGCCCTCACTCCCGGATCTCACAGAGAAACCTCAGGCTGCCCCCTGCCGTTCCCTGGGCCTAGAGGGACGCACCTTCAGGTTGCCCTTGGTGGTGAACGCACGGCCACAGATGTTGCACACAAAAGGCTTCTCCCCCGTGTGAGTTCGCTCGTGGATCTGCAGAGCACTTGCAGACGAGAAGTTCTTCCCACAGCGCGTGCAGCCATGCTGCTTGGCCTGTCGGCGCGGCTGGGCCACCATCAGAGGCGTCGTTGTGCCTGGGGACAGGGTTGAGGGACCCACAAATGTGCCGGGAACTTCAACCTTGACATAGGTGGGCTGCGTTCGGATGAATGTCGATGATGGGAGGCTGCTCCGACCTAGTTACGCAGAAGAGGGGGGGGAGGGGAAACAAAACTCCAAGCCTTTATCATCCAACACTCCTTCACCCTTCCAACCAAAACACAGCAATAGAACTCCCAACTAGTCAATGGTTTTAAGAGCCTGGCGGTGGCTTCTAGGAAGCTTGCACAAAGAAGAAAAACACTGACCATTAGGGTTTGTATACAGGTGTGGGCAAAGGGCAACAGTGAAGATTTCAGCATTACAAGTTACCTTTAAAGGGGACCCACAGGCCAGGTTTCTGGGATTGTGCGACACTGCTGTTACTCTGCCCTGCCAAGAATGATTCAGCAGGCACCACACACGCTGTGTGTATTCACAATGGGCTGCTCTCTTCTTCCCCCAACCCCAGGCGGGATTCGCTTGTGAACACACATTGGGGCTGAGACCTCAGCGAGAAAGATCAAGGGCCCTCGTTTAGGTGGACAAAGGATGGTGCCCGTTTCTCAAACGTGCTTTTATCGTAGGGCCCAACAAGGTGGCACGGCAAGTTAAGCCGCCACTTGTGAGGCTGGCATCCCAGAAAGGGGTCCTACCTAGGTATGGTGCTTTGGGTTCTGCTTCCTGCCAGTGTGGCAGGACAGGACTGAAGACAGCCTTGGTACTCGGGGTCTTTGCCTCCCATTGGGGAGCCTGGATGGAGCCCCGGCTCCAATCTTGGCTGTTGAGTCCGTTGGGGGAGTGAAGCATAGGGGAGGCCTCTGTTTTCCTCCCTCCTTCCATCTCTGTGTCTCTATAAAAGCATGCTGAGCAGACTGCACAGCCACCCCAAAGGAGGACAGAGGCTGCCGATATTCTCTACCCGCAAGGACAGACAAGCTACTGTCCCTGGAGGAACTGCTCCAGCCCATGCTGCTCCAGCCCTAGGTTCCTGTTGGATGAACCCAAGCCCGAAAAGGGACATAAGTTAAACCCAAAGCTCCATCACCTTCCATCTCAGGGCGGCTGCTCTCGGAGCTCTCGGCTTTGCCCCCAGCATCGGGAGACTTGGACTTGATGCTCTCGGCTTGGCTATTGGCTGGCGAGAGCGCCTGGAAAGACGTGGGTTCCACAGCATCCGGGCTTCGGCTCTGATACTCTTGGTCTCCCATCAGCGAGGATGAATCGTTGGTCAGGCCATCACTCTCCACCGAGCCATTCTCCCGGCTGCTCTGCCGCTGCAGGCCGAGAGGGGCTGTACCCACTCTCCCTGGGGTGTCCAGGGAGGCCAGCACAGGGAAGCCCAGAGTGGGAGAGGCCGAGTGGACACTGGCAAGTGGTGTGGAGACCTTCGAGGAAGCGCTGGGCACATCCTGAGGGCTGACTTCACCCACATCAATGCTCTCGAGGTTGTCGTGGCAGACGGCCCCGGTACGGCCGTTCTCGCTGCCCGGGGCAGGCTCAGGGGCCCCGACGTCGCAGGGGCTCTCTGCCAGGGGCGTGTTGGGGATCTGGCCGCCCATATGCATGCGGATGTGCTGCTGCAGCAGCACAGCGTTGGTGAACTTCTTCTGGCAGATGGGGCACGAGTGCTGCGGCTTGACCGACGAGTTGGTCCGGTGGACACCCAGGTGCGTCTTCAAGTTGCCTTTGGTAGAAAAAGCCCGGCCACAGATCTTACACTGGAAGGGTCTCTCCCCGGTGTGGGTGCGGTAATGCATTTTGAGGGAGCTTTGGCAGCTTAAAACTCGGTGGCAGACGTGACACTCGTTGGGGTCGGTGGTGGCCTTGTCGATGTTCTCCACCAGCTGCTGCAGCTTCAGGGTCTCAGACCCTGGCTCGGGGACCCCGCTCCCTGGGAAGCCACCAACCCTGGAGGAGATGTGGTTGGGCCCCACCCCAGCTAGCGTAGGCCCACCCTCGCTCTCGGGAGAAGGCCCAGGCTGCAGGTCAGCAGGCAACGGGGCACCCAGGAGGTCCTTGGGGTTAGTCCCTGAAGAGAGACTGGCAGGTAGCCCAACGGAGGGAGTCCCCACCACAAGGACAGGCTTGCTGTCTACGGGGAGACTCGACTGGTCAACCGGGACGGGGACTGAGAGTGTATAGGGGATGCCAGTGCCTGCCACCATTTTGTCCTGGAACTCGGCAAAGAGCTGGGGGTTGGCCTTCACCTGGGGGTGTCGGTGAAAGTGCACTTTGAGGTTGCCCTTGGTGGTGAAGCGGTGACCACAGACAGAGCACATGAAGGGTCTCTCTCCAGTATGGGAGCGTACGTGGATCTGCAGGGAACTATCAGTCCCAAAAACCTTGCTACAGTACTTACACTTGTGCTTGTAGAGCCCGGCCTCGTCTCTGGCTTTGACTTCCACCGTGGAGACGTTCGGGGGCTTCCCCTTGCCCTTCTTGGACGGGTCTAGCGACACAGTGGAGAAAGGACTCTGGAAGAGCGTAGAGCTGGGAGCCTGAGGTAGCAAAGCGCTGGGGAGGCGGGACACGACGCCGGGCAGCACCCGGGCCCCGTCGGCCTTGAGGGCGAAGGGGGTGAGCCCCGAGGGCAGGGAGGAGGCAGTGGTGGCAGCAGCCGTGGCCGGGATGCCAGGGTGAGGTAGCTTGCCTTGTTTCAAGGCCTCCAGTGACAGACCCTGACTGCCAACCTTCTGGCTGAGCAGCGCCACGGCCGCAGACACCTGCTGGGACACGTGACTGCCCAAGGTTTTCAAGGCGTCGGTACCGGCCACGCCAGAGTGCAGAGCGTGCGAGGCCCACATGTTCACCTGGATGCGGATCTGCTCGGTGAGCTGGATCTGCTGGAGCTGCTGCTGCTGCAGGCAGAGGATCTGCTCCAGGACCCAGGGGATGCTGTTGGCACCCGGCACGGGGGCCGGTGGCGCATCCACGCTCCGCTGGTTCACGGCCACCTTGGTGCCACGCAGCGCCTGCAGTGTCACGTTAGTGTTGGCCACTTTACCTTTGGGTAAATAGCTTATGTCCGGGGAGGTGGGGGGCAGGGCGCTCTCTGCCTTCAGGTAGATGACAGACTCGGCACCCAGCTTCTCCTTCGGGTCCCCGGGACCGTCTCTGGGGCTGGGACTGAGGACCGATCCGGAGAAGTCTTCTGAAGGCACTGGCCCCTCGCTGTCGCTCATGATGAGGACAGGGGGATTCTTAGTGCAATTTTTCTTATGCTCCAAGAACTCGGAGTGGCTGAAGAATTCAGCGCAGCACTTCTCACAGACGTGGGTTTCTTCCCTCCGTGGCCGCTTCCCGGGCACTCTGTCCTCATGTGCTTCGTCACCAGCCCCCAGCTGGCTCATTGGGGCACCTGTGACAAGAAGAGAAGGAGCTAAGAATCCCGCCCACTACAGGAATTGGGGGACGATTTCTGCTTAGCCACTGGCAAAGCAACCCAGCAACAAGAGGACGATCACCTGGGAGCAAAGAGCCACCCCAGACTCAGAGCCAACTACCAACTTCCGCTACGGCTGGCATCTAGACTCTGCCACCAAGCATGAGGCCCAGACCTAACCCGGTCACCCGCACCTATGCACAGGATCTTAAATCTAATGCCCGGCAGCCTAATCAAAGAAAAAGGAAGGCATGAAACAGAACAAAGGCATGACACGACACAAGCCAGGAATGGTGGAAGCCAACAGGAAGCATCAGGTTGAATTATCCCTTAGAGCCTGTGCGAACCCTAACCCCGCGGTCCCCTGAAGCCTCCAGAGGGTAAGCTTATCGTCGCAAACCATCCAAGCCAGTGTGGCAGCTGCAGTCTTCAAAGACACACAGAAATGTGAGGTAATGCCTGCTTAAGTGCATCAGGATTGGCAACATGGCATAACAGGCTACACCTGTCTTATTCACATCCCATATGGGTACCAGTTCAAGTCCTGTCTGCTCCACTTCTGATTGAGAACCCTGCTAAAAATGCTAGGGAAAAGCAGCAAAGAATAGCCCAAGCCCTTGGACCCCTACATCCACGTGGGGACATGGAAGAACCTCGTGGCTCTGGCTTCAGATCAGCTGAGCACCGGCCACTGCAGATCAAACCAGCAAATGCAAGATCTCTTTCAATCCTTCTCCCCACGACTTTTTTTTTAAGACTTACTTTCTTATTGGAAAGGCAGATGTACAGAGAAGGAAAAACAGAGAGAAAGATCTTTTATCTGTTCACTCACCAAGTGGTCACAATGGCCAAAGCCAGGAGCTTTTCTGGGTCTCCCACATGGGTGCAGGGTCCTAAGACTTTGGGCCATTCTTGACTGCTTTCCCAGGCCACAGGCAGGGAGCTAGGATGTGAACCAGCGCTCACATGGGATCCTGGCACATGTAAGGTGAGGATTTAGCCACTAGATATTGTGCCAGGCCTCCCAACTCTTGACTTGAAAAAAAAAAAAAACCAGAAAAATGAAAAGCAGCAGGAGCATTTGCACAAATCGATCTATTTGGGCCCAGTGCAGTGGCCTAGTGGATAAAGTCCTCGCCTTGAATGCACCGGGATCCCTTATGGGCACCAGTTCTAATCCCAGCAGCCCTGCTTCCCATCCAGCTCCCTGCCTGTGGCCTGGGAAAGCAGCAGGGAACGGTCCAAAGCCTTGGGTTTCTGCATCCACGTGGTAGACACAAAGAAGTTCGTGGCTCCTGGCTTCGGACTGGCCGTTGCAACCAGTTGGGAAGTGAATCATCGGACAGATCTTCCTTTCTGTATATCTGACTTTGCCACACAAATAAATCTTTTAAAAAACGACCTAATTTTTCTTAAAATTTCCCTTCCCCAGAACAAGAAGAAATAGCAAATTTGGAAGCAATGAATTCACCCAATTTTCCCTAAACCTCGATCCTTCCCACCCTGATCAACCATGTAATCATTATTAATAAAATAAAATTGATTTTAAAAAAGAAAAAAATTTCAAATAAAATCTGTGCTTGAAATGCTAAAACACGTGTGTGTGTGGGGGGGGGGAGGGCCTTTGATGCAATCAGCCGCAAGTTGGCGAGCTGACATTTTCTTACTTTCACGATTACACTTCATTCAGCCCGTGGGATTTTGACTGCAGGGGCTTGCGGGAGAGTTGGTCTGGAAGCAAGCCTTAAAACAACCTTTGCTTGGCTCATTCCAGGCTGGGTATCAACAGGTAGCTCTGTCAGGTTCCTGGGGACGGGTGGGCCAGGCAAGAATGAACCATCCCAGGCAGGTCTGGCCTGACCAGGTGAGTTTAAGCTAAGGAGCTCACACCACCAGACCAGCAGTCAACCGTCACAATCCTGCACTTGACACAGCAGGTACAGCTCAAACAGTGTCCGTCACACAAAGCCCGCACTTCCTACTTCATGCATGCAAATGGGGTGAGACTGTTTACACTTCCTGCTCAGCCTAGTCATCACAACAGCCCCATTTAACAAACTGAAATGTGTGTGCCTGGGGGTGCCGGGTGGCAGTACAGCAGGTGAAGCCACTGCCTGGAAGTCAGTGTGTCCCAGCCGCTCCACTTCCCACCCAGCTCCCTGTCTCCCTACTTAGGGCCTGGGACAGGCAAGAACAGGGCAGCCTCGGTATTCTAGTCCTTGCCACCCATGTGGGAGACCTGAACGAAGCACTTGGTTCCTGGCTTCAGCCTGGCCACTCCAAGAATAAGCAAGTGGGGATGGACAGTCGACCTCTGTATATGACTTTTCAAAATAAATACTATCTGAAAACAAAACAATAGGAGTGGACTGGGTGTTCAGCATGGCAGTTAGCGAGCATCTCTGGGTGCTGGGTTCAAGTTCTGTCTTCCCTCCCAGTTCCCGCTTCCTGCTAACGTGCACCCTGCAAGCGAAGCGGTGAGAGGCTGGTCCAGCCCCAGCCATCGTGCGCATCTCTGGAATGAACCAGCAATCTGAAGATGTTCTGGTCTCTCCTCTCTGCAAGTCTGTTTTTCTAATAAAAACAAACGTTTAAAGTATTAATCTCTTAAACATGCACAGCCCAGGCCTGCCGACAGAAGGCTTCTACCTGCCTTTTGGCAGACCCGCCTTTATCAGGCTTCCTGTTGGCTCCCAGGAAGACGAATGGGAACTCTTTGCTATCTTGGTTCCGGGAGTTCCAGAAATCACTTTTAGGTGTTAGATGTGATACACCTCGTTACTCCCAGGGTGGGCTCCCAGGAGGCAGGCACAGGAGAGGGTCTTTTCTTAAGGCTCCAGTACCTCTCGGAAGCAGAACTATTTCAACAATCAAGTTCAAAGCATGAATTGTGAGAAGCCTAGAGTCTGTACACTTGGGAGTCCCCGGACTCTGTGTGTCTCCCCTGAAGTCGAAATGCAAAGCTTGCACGGGTCTGAAGGAGTTGGATCTGCCTGTAAAAGCAGTTTTGGAAGTTCTGTGCCAAGACACGTTGTGCAAGTTTCTTTAGGGGAGGCGTGAGATGGGCAAGTGTGAATGTGACTGGACGCCAGGCAACACGTTTCTCCAACTGCCCTTGACGCAGCGCTTCCTTTGTTAGGAATTCACTTCCCGTAACGCCAAGGTTATTCCTTGCAGCGTTTCTCTCCCTCCCTCTCTGTCCCTCTCACACACACGGACACAGCATAGATCATCAGTACATAACTAGGGTACAGGGAAGGATGTGAGGCAGAAGAGGATGTGTAGATACACAGCACGCACACCATGGATAACGTGAAGTGTGCCGAGAAGCTGCTGCCGGGGCTGGGGACGGGAAACGCACGGGAGACAGAAGCTGAACTTCCACGCTCTGTCACCACAGCGTCTTTCAGCTCCCCAGCGAACATCACCGAGCACAGGGCTACCTCCTCAGTCAAGACACAAGCTACTGAGCTTTGGAATCTATCTACCCCTTAAAAAAATTCTGTATGGGCACCAGTTTGAGTCCCAGCTGCTCTACTTTTAAAGCATTTATTGGAAAGGCAGATCTATAGAAGGACAGAGAAACATCTGCAATCTGCTGTTTCAGTCTCAAAGTGACTGTTAATGGCCAGGGCTGATCTGAAGCCAGGAACTTCTTCCGGATGCCCCCAGTGGGTGTAGGGTCCCAAGCAAGGAGCTAGATGGGAAGTGGAATGGCTGGGACATGTCCATACAAGATCCCAGAGCATGAAATGTGAGAATTTAGCCACTCAGCCATCGTGCCAAGCCTAGCCGTTCCAATTTTGATCCAGCTACCTGCTAATGTGCTAATGTGCCTGGGAATACATAGAAGATGGCCTAGGTTCTTGGGCCTCAGAACCCACTATGGAGTTCCTTCAGCTAGGTCTGACTCTAGCTGTTGCAGATATTTCAAGTGAACAGCAGATGGAAGACCTTTTTCCCTTCATTTCTTCAATGGACTTCCAAATAAAAATGAATCTTTAAAAAAGTGTTTTTTTTCACCAGGCCCAGCACCATAGCCTAGTGGCTCAATTCTTACCTTGTATCTGCCAAGATCCCCTAAGGGCACCAGTTCTGCTCCAGTTCCCTGCTTGTGACAGGCCTGGGAAAGCAGTCAGGGACAGCCCAAAGCTTTGGAACCCTGCACCTGCAGGAAGCTCCTGATTGGCTCAGCTCCGGTCATTGTGGCTACTTGGGGGGGAGTCAACCAGCATATGGAAGACTTTTCTCTATGTAGAGCTGCCTTTCCAATAAATAAATTTTAGGGGAAAAAAATCATCCACCTTCTGGGGGAGCAGAGAGAAGGAGCTGGGAACTCAACCCAGGCCCCCCACGTGGGTGGCAGGAACCCCGTCAGGAAAGGAACTGGATACTCCAGGTATCTTAGCCCAGGTCCAACCACCAGGCTGCACCTTCACCTGTCCCCTTGGCTCAGCTGCGCCACCTGCCTTCACTTGACTTCATTACAAGTTATCTTTGTTCCCACTTTGAGGAAAGGAGCTCAGCTGCTATCAAATCAACATGCTGCCAACAAGGAAACAAAGGCAGGCATTGGGTTCCTAGAATAACAGCAGAGAAGGATCTTGAATTGGGTAATTTCTGTTCCAACCGTAGCAATTTCAAGCTTTTAAAAAATCAACCCAGGGCCTGGCACGATAGCATACCGGTTAAAGTCCTTGCCTTGAATGCACTAGGATCCCATATGGATGCTGGTTAGTATCCCGGCAGCCACACTTCGCATCCAGCTCCCCGCCTGTGGCCTGGGAAAGCAGTCAAGGACGGCCCGAAGCCTTGGGATCCTGCACCCACGTGGGAGACCTGGAAGAGCTCCTGGCTACGGACTGGTTCATCTCCAGCCGTTGCGGCCACTTGGGGAGTGAACCATCTGACGGTGGATCTTCCTCTCTGTCTCCTCCTCTCTGTATATCCGCCTTTCCAATAAAAAATAGATCTTA